GTAATATATGAGCAGTCCAGCAATACCACAACAGAACAAGACAATGAGAGGCTGCTATCCATTGTCTGGCTGATTTGCTGTTCTCTGTGGCTCTGTACCAGACAATGCTTTTACCTGAAAGAATTCAAATAAGTCTCTGATCAATCTAAGCCATGGTGTGTCGGACTATTGGAAGCAGCTAGATTCAAAAGGGTTGAAAACACGGTAACTGGAGATGAAATAAAAGTAAAAGTTTAAAAACATATCTCTTAAACACTGACAGGCTGGAGTCCAGATCGAGTTGGGATAAAGTCCCCCCAAAGACAGAAGTATGCTGCCTGGTTCAATATAAGGTCCATCAGTATCTCTATTAAAAAGTCAATTTTATTGATTCACTGATGTGTGTCAACAGCAATGTTTAACTGTATTAATTAACAAACACCACATGATTTCTCTCTTATAATTAAGAAATCAATTTCCTACCAAATGGAAATGACAATAGGGAGTTACCTAATAAGTGTTTAATTGATTGAACTGATGGCCACTCAAGTACTTAAAACTACATGAAAGTGCCATTTGTTAGTGGCTAAATCTTCAGATACACCAAGTACATGTATATGGAAATAAGCTTTGGAAATATCTGCTGGAAATACTTCCTTGGCGAATAAAAATTTACACATGTACCACAAAAAAAAAAAAAAAAAAAAAAAAAAAAAAACCAAAATTAAAAATAAAAAAATTAAATAAAATAAACTAAATACTCGACAGTTAAAAAAAAAAAAAAAAAATCACCTTTTGGCAACAAATTAATTACGACTTTATAATTAAGCTATAACACATGAGGTTAAACTCAATCACCTAACTGACAAGTGGCCTCTATGATTTAACAGAGATTACAGATACGAAGAAAAAAAATGTATTAAAGGCTCAAAGTAAACAACAGAGGATGAACCACAACAAAGAATGTCTATACTCAGATCAGTCTACTTATCAAATTAAGTCAAGTCAGATTAAGCGTCTAATTCTGAATAAACCTCTGAAAGAAATCCAGGTTTATTGTTCAAGGGGCTCCAAAACTATAACCCAAGCCAAGATTTGACAGCTGTGTCTGCAGACAAGATTCAGGGGGAGATGTTTAGGAACCAAGATGATCAAAACCAGCCAACAGCACCTTCAGACCCCCAGACTCGAAAATTACATAAACTGTTATACAACATATCTCTTGCTTATACTAAAATCAACCATTTACAAGAATTTAAATTGTTATAGTTTTAAAGATCCAACCACAAGTGGCATATCAGACTTATTCTTTGTGTGTTCCTTAATGCCGTTGTCTGCTCATGAGCCAATTATTGCCAGAGATTACAGGTCTAAACCTCTAACAGGGTCTCTTCAGCCCATAAGGGCTTTTATTTGGATTCTAGGATGTAAAAACTGGCATCCAAGCCAGCACAAGATGGTAACATGACAGACAGATTAACCAAAATGAGGATTAGCTATCCATTACATTATAGATTACGCCTCACCTGCTTAAAATACCCCTTTGAGAAAAATAAATAAATAAAAGGATTTATCAAGACTGGTGCAGACTGTTGCAGCAGCAACAAACATTCAGTGACTAGGCAACCACCTGTCCACAAGCCACTCCTAGTTAAAGCACCCAAATCCAAAACACAAGCAGTTACAACATCACCCCACCCACCGGCCCTAACAATGGTACCACAGCTTCTGGCTAACAGCTTCCTTTGCCGTGCAACGTGATGCCTCGGGGACACATGGACTAAGCTATAGTGTAAAATCTGAGTTCACGTCCTGTTCGTTGTGTTTACCTTTTCACATCCAAGTCCACTGCTCATATTGAAGAATGGATCAAGGTGGGAGTCAAAGATGGATGGAAAAAACAAATCTTGTACAGATAACTTGGATTCTGTAACTTAGCATACAAAAGGCTCTGTGACATAATAAACATCCACATAAATCCAAATATATGAACTTATGGTCGAAAACAAATTCCTAAAGCCCCACCAAGATATTCAAAAGTGATTAAAAAATAATTAAAATACACAATATGCCATAAGGCTTAGTCATTTGGCAAATAAATGAAGCAATGTTTTCTTTTATTTCATCCAAAAAGCAGTGAAGTGAAAAGCTCTGCTCTGAATGATCACATTTTATACTCAAGTGAAGCGTGATAACTTCCTCTCATGAGACAAAATGATCCAGTTTAATTACAAATATAACGTTAACCTCCGTAATGGGGTCAGAGTCTGTCAACCTTCCTTCTCCACATTAAAAACCACCAAACTACGCCATGTGTGCCGAGCTCCCTACAGGCTGTGAATAATGGGCAATTATTTAATGTGCCCTCAACATCCTCGCCCATTATGAATTAAAGTTTGGACTGCGTTGAGAGGTAACGGCTAAGGCTAACACTTTTGAGAGCTGTCGAGCTTTGCTCTGATGCAAAGACAAAAGGCCAAGAGGGGGGAGAAAAATGGGCCAGCGGTACCACAAAAGCAGGGATTGTAGGGCTGGACAGATGCAGATGAAACCACCATTACACACCAACGGGAGATGTGTTTAACATGGTGCGATGGTGGCCATGTGAATGATGGGATGACATCTCTGGGGAGTGTGTCGGCCCCATGCTACACACCCAAATGGAGGTCAGGCCGGAGGGGTGGAGGATTTGTCAGGGTGAGCCTAGGACTGGAGGGTGACGAGAGCCGACTGCAGCATAAGTTTAAAGCAGGTGGTGGGCTGTAATAAAGATGGCTACAGGACATTTTCCACACGTGTAGCATCTTTTCCTTAAACAAGCAAAATTTGTATTTTAAAATGTATTTTTAGTTTAACAAAAACAGCATCAACAACATATTTGGTGAAACTGAAATTTATTTCAGTTTGGAATTGTTTTTTTTTTTTGTTAAAATATAAATTAATAATAGGGCTGTGCAATATATTGAACCATAACGGATATAAGCTGATACGTATGATACGATTTTTGATACTGTAAAGTTGTGATGCCTAAATTGACTTGTAGCATTTAAACAACATTTTTGTTGACAAAATAGAATAGAATTTTAATATTAGCCTTTTATAATCATCTATAAAACTAAAATAATTATCGGCTGAAGAGTATTGACATGAATTCTAAATAATTGTTAGATTTACTGAAAAAAAAAAAAACACTACTGTTCAAAAGTTTGGTGTCGGTATGATTAAGTCTCTTATGCTCGCTATATTGTATTGTATTGTATTGTAATTTTCTTCTCCCCCCCCATAAATTTTAAAATGTATTCCTGAGATCTGAATTTTCAGCAGCCATTATTCAGTCTTCAGTGTCACATGATCCTTGAGAAATCATTCTAATATGCTGATTTGGTTCTCAAGAAATGTTTCTTATCATTATCAATGTTGAAAACAGTTGTGCTGCTTTCGTAGAAACTGTAATATATAGTTTTCAGGAAAGTTCAACAGAAGAACATTTAGTAAAATATCTTTACAGTCACTTTTGATCAATTTAATTTGGATCTTAACAACAATAAAAACCTTACTAACCCCAAACTTTTGACCGGTAGTGCAAAAAATAAAAATAAAAGTGTTTTGACACAATAATATGTTGTCCTCAGTTAATGGGTCATCGGAGTCCAGACACACCAGACGCACTGAAAAGTTATGACTACTCAACCACTGCAGACTTTGTGGATCAATAAACTTCTGTTCATATTTAGGGGTGTAGCCTATAATAGCCTAATACCAACAAACCAATAAGCCCTTCTTGTATGATTTTGATCAATATTTCATGGAATGATAAACTGATTTATACAATATTGGATATAGATCTCTAATAGACTGGACTTTACAGCATTTTTAATTTGTAAAATACACACAAACAACACAAAAATATTTTATTATACCGCCATTGTGTTTTTCAAGTTCTTTATGGCTTCCTTTTCTTGTCTAAGTACCTGTCTGGTTCTGATTGATTTAATTAAAGCTCAAGGACTTCCAATCAATAAGGATTTTTTCCCCCAGTTTGAAGAATTCGTTCCATATGGTGTCGTACACAAACATGGTGGATATTTGTGTACAGGGTGCACAAAAACATGAGAAACAAAGAAATGGACTGTGTGCATTCATCTACGCGCTCTCACCTAAAATAACCACAGAAGTAAGTGCTGGCCTAATATTGACTGGGTGTCAGCAGACCAGCACAAACAGCAAAAAAACAAGCTAATGTTTCAGAGGTCATGTTTGCTCAGGCTTTTCCCTTAGTGACACAGAACCCTTTCACTAAGAATTTAAATGGGTTATAAAAAGGAAAATAAAACTGGTCTATTGTTCTACCACAAATATGAAGTTAATACAGTACAAACGGCAATTTCCTAATTTGGAAATAAAATAAATGACTGTAAATTAGTTATTTGACACATAGAAATATTCAACAGGCCTACATAAGTAATTTTGCCAGAAAAGTAAATTATTTGGCACTCTGAAAGAGCTTGCAGGGTCAAAATGCATCATCATGGCCCTTTTGCCCTTCTGTCAGGTGAATAGGACTGCACTGATCTACACCGGATACAGCAGATAGTGACGGTTTGCTTAAGCAGGAGCAAAAACCACACCCTAATGGGAAATTAAGGGTGTGAAGCACTTGAATGTGGTCTTGTCAGACTAAAGCAAACAGTTTACTAGATGTAGCCTACTTTTCAAATATTAAAATAAAAGTCGTTTTAAATGTTAATAATATTTCAAAAGTACGTATTTTTTGGCAAATAAATGCCTTGGTGAGTATATAAGATTTCTTTCAAAAACCTAAAAAAATTATGCTGACCCCAAACCTTTTAACTGTAGTGCCCAACACACATACATTTACATTTAGCAGTAAACAAAATGCTCTGAACAAACAAGTTTTGATCATGTTAAAAATTGATCAAATACTGTTTTGGTGAGCACAGAGCACTAGGAAACTGTGGAGTGGCATGTTTTGGCAACAGCCAAATCCTAGTCTCACTTACCTTGGTTAAGGACTCCAGTTCAAATTCATTCACAAAGGCAGATTGACTGGATAACCGCTGGAAGAGAAAGGCTCCATGTCACAAAAGGAAAATTCAACCACTGAGCATCCACTGCACACTGCCAACACTTGGCTAACCTCTGTGTTTGGGAATGCCTGCCCTCAGATGCCATTTTAAGCCTCTTTGGGAGCCTGTTCTTCCTCGAATATGATCTGTGGACTTTGATTCCTGCTTATTGGATCATAGAAATAAATACAAAATACTAAGATATGTGTTAGTACATTAAATTTAAGGACATATAAGCAGATATTCCTACCTGTTTGGGTCTCTAAGCTGTCTTTTAGCTGTACATTCAGTAAAGGTTCAACTGTTATACAAGTGCCTGTTTTACTAGTTCTTCTCTCCCTTCTTAACCTCTCTGCAGATGGCGTCTCTGCTTCCCCAATTTTCTGCTGGTTAACTCTTTGTGTCTGCTCTCTTTCCTTTCTATTCAGGATATGGCCTTTCACGTTCTGGTTTAAGTCTAGTTTAAGTGAGGTTGGAGGCCTTGAACTAGATTTGCATGGAGCTTGGGACTTTACTGGCACTCTCTCCCTGATGCTTGCATCTGAACTTTGACCTGCTGAATTCAAGCACATGCACCTTCAGAATGAGCATTGAGAAAATTATAATGCCTGAATAGAATAATGCTTAAAACAGTGGAAAGAGCTTTCTTGTACAGCACTGCTCTTATTAAAAAAAACCTTTTACTGATTGTGGAGAGACAAGGGGTGAATTAGGCTAATTCAATTAAATGTATTAGTTTAATAAATGGCTAGCTGGGGCAGGGTCCAACTGTTTTGCAGTTATGCATGGCTGCAGACAGCTTATTATGATGTCTTGAACTACACATATTCTCACGCCTTAGCCTTTAGCATCCTCATTCAGATTGATACTAATGGGCCGGTCTCAGCCCGCCATGCAATTACAATAACGAACTGGCTGCCTCTGCACAGGGCAGATGAAGAGGGATGAGCTTTAATAAAATTTCTTCCTTTGCCCCCACATTAACGGTGTTGCCATTTAAGCCCCTCTAACGAGACAAATCTTGTCAGGCTAATGGCGGTTAATTTGCTAGAGCCTCCCCCTCTCTGCAAAGTCTCAGGAAAGAAAAAAAAAAGTAATTTATTATGTTCCTTGGAACGTAATGAGAGTAATAACATATTTTAGAGTCCATTTTCATTCTTATCACAGTCAGACTATTCGAATATTGCTGCCAGTAACAACACCTTTCAAAAATATTATCTAAAAAAGCATTATCCTTTAGATGCGGAACAAACACTGTAACCCCATTTTGTCATATTTATGTATTCAAATACTAAGACACTTTTTTCTAGTTCTGCTAATAGACATAGTAAAATTTGTATTTTTTACAATAAATAAACAAATACAATTTTTTGTTGTTGTTTAAGGTCATGGACACATAAAGAGAGAGAATAGAAATTCTGTCAGGTGTTTCAAACAACACAAGAATGGTCAAACTTACAAAGTATGAAGACCTGAACATGCCTTAAAATTACCAATAAAAAAAAATAAAAAAACGATTTAACTCACTAAACAGATTAATTACAATTTTAATAATATAAATAGTAATAAGGTAACACTTTAGTATAGGGACCAATTCTCACTATTAACTAGTTGCTTATTATTAACATATTGGCTGTTTATTAGTGCTTATAAAGCACATATTCTGCATGACCCTATTCTACATTCCTAATCCTACCCAATACATAAACTCAACAACTACCTTACTAACTATTAATAAGTGGCAAATTAGGAGTTTATAGAAGCAAAGGTCATAGTTAATGGTTTGTTAATAGTGAGAATTGAACCTTAAAATAAAGTTTGACCAATAATAATAATAATAATAGCTTTCTTTGTTGTTCCAAGTCATGGAAACAAGAGGAGAGAGGAAAGAGTAACATGTTATTTTTAAATATAAAAACTAGTAAATACAGAAGCCCAGAACACGCACTATTATAAAACATTAGGGTGGGTTGCACCAATAAGGATTAAATTAAGCAAAGTTTAGAGCTAATCAAGGATTTGTTGATCTGGGTTTTATTTTAAATCGAGTTATGTTGCACGCACCACTTAATTTTAAACTTAGATTAACAAATCGTGGATTGGAATTCTAACCTGCGACTTATACCTCCATCTATGACTAATTAATTATCTCTGCCATGATGGATTCGTCATGTAATTAAATAGCAACAATGTTAACATTCCTTATCCTGTCTCTGACCCAAGTTGCTTTTGTCGATAAAGGAAGTAAACATGTAAAATGTCAGCAGTCTTTATAAACCGCTAGGCTACGTTCGCATTGTCAGTTTATGGGACTGACAAATGCATTTACTTATAGGTGTGAGTCTCGAAATGTCCCATTCACACAGCAGTTTACAGTTGCGTTTGGAATACTGTCTGTATGAATGTGCAACAGGAGTCAAGCCCGTATTCTTTACCAGTAACCATAGCAACAGTGACCATTGACCAAAGTAAAATCAAAGATGGCGATGTCCATAATACTGAAAGTTTTATCACTTCTGACATGACAAGAGTCCAATCGAGCCACGAGTTCTTCTGTCAAATCTTCATTAACCAACAGCAGCTTTTATTTGGATAGAGAGCAGAGCATATTTGAGTCTCGCGCCAAATACAAAACTGACGGGAGCAGCTCCGGTGGAAAACTGGATCTAAAACTTTCAGATGACACACAGATCATTTCTCTGTCATTGTAAGTTTCCAAAACTACACATCAAAACACGTAACACACGCATGTTTATGCAGTAGAGCGACTCTCTCGCAGTGTATGACGTGACAGACAACTAGTTGTCCAGTCCTGTTCCATTCACACAGCGCGTGTGTTCTGAGAATGCAGTTGTGAATCCTGAAAATGTACAGGTGTGAGTTCGGTTACAGAATGCGGTTGTCACACCCGAAAAAAAAAACCGCACTGTGTGTGAACGTAACCGTATTAAGGACTCAAATACAGGACAGACAACTGTATTCCGCTGCTGTGTGAACGTGGCCGCAGAGAGACCGCTGATCAAACGGTTGATCAAGCAAGCAATGAAAACTTTGAGGCAGTGCATATGGATTTCATAATCTTGGAAATATATTTATAGTATCAATTAGAGCCCTGCATGGGCCTCAATTGTAGGCCCTAGCCCGGCCCAGGCCCAAGACGCTCAGGCCTTTGTCCAACAGCTTATCAGAATTCTTGGCCCGAGTCCGACCTTTTTTCCCATTCTCCCAAAACAGCTTATAGGCTACTACTGTTTCAGCTATTAAAATAGTTCAGTTTTGTGGCAAAGTGATTTTATTTCATTCGTTTTTTTATTAAGCTAATTTTGAAAAACGTTTGGAGCATTTTTTTGTTCGTTAAAATGTAAGTTTTTTTTTTTTTTTAAATAATGACCATTTGTGTGCACTCACAATATCAACAAAACGTTGTGCTTTTAAAGAAAACATACAAGATGCGCTTTCTGCTGTCTCGGTTGTAGGAGCGCTTCACAATGATGAACTGAAACTCAGTGAATACTTGCCTCACAGACTTGCTAAATATATCTATAGAAAGGTTTGAATTACTACTTTAAAACAAAATAATTCAAATCAAAAACGGTTTCATTATAAAATCTGTAAAGATGCATTTCTCTCTAAAGGCACGACCAATGAGGAGATGGCAAGTCAGGATCATCAACTTCATCTTGGCGACACTGACTCAGAAAACACTAGTTTATTAATAAATAATTAAAATATCTCCTATTTCCCCATGACACATTTATGGTAATTACTTTTGCTGGGGCTTTGCGGGACGCTTTAGCCTATTGCATGCGCTCGCACGCGAAACTCTTCCAGTTGAGCTGAAGGCATCTGTGCTCGCTGCTGCTGAAGGGACACTAAACACCGTCCGAGCCACTCTTGACAGTCGCGGTAGCATGTCTTGTTGTTTCCACCACCAGCACGGCAAAAAAATTGTATCACCATAATTGATGGATGTCTAAAATATAAAAATAAGGAGAAGCCTAAAATAGGTCCAATGCCCGGCCCGCGTCTGAGCTATGATGTGAAAATGGACCCAACGCTCGGCTCTGGGGTTGTAAAGAAGTCGGGGCCTGTTGGGCCTGGGCTGAAATGCAGGGCTCTAGTATCAATTAATGGAGTATAGCTTGACAAAACAACCGAGATAAGAGAAAATAACTGGCATGATTTGCTACCTCCGCTCGTGACAGCACTGCACTGTCCGTTTGATCACCGTTCAGCACGCGTGTGGAGCGACCGTGAGAAACGAGAGGTGCGGCCGCGATCCTGTCTTCTTTTCTTTGTCGTATGCTGAGATGCACCGAGATAAGTGAGATTCACATCCCGGACTCGATAGCAGACGCAAGTATACTACGGGCTGCCACGACCCTCGCAATCTGCCGGCTCAGTGTGCTTTAATTTTAATTTATAATAAACACCTCTTTGAGACCTGACGACACACCCACTGTTTCTGTCTTTGTTCAATCAGCCACATATTGTAACTGTAGGTGCACTTTATTTTATTTAAACCTCCTCATCTGTAAATTTGGAATTGAGATTAAAATCTGAGTTTAAAATTATGGAGCAACAGGATTAAAGTTAATCTATTTTAAATATAAAATAAACCAAGGATCAAAATGATGGTTTAAATGTAAACCTGCTTATTTTTAAACAAGTTTTAAAGTTTGGTGCAACAGAATTATTAGATAAACCTTGATTTAATCTAGATTTAAACTTAATGCTTATTGGTGCAACCTATAATAGTATTGACATTTTAAATTAACACTAGTTAATTAATTAAAATAAACAAAACACTTCTACTAATAATTACAATTTACATAATTAAAATTTTTATTACTTTATTAAAAATACTTCACTATAGATTTAGCCCAGTTCAATGCGTTGTTATTTGTGTGTTCATATAACTTAATCCTTCACATGTTGTCATTTCTTAGAGCTTTTAGTGAGAGCAAGACAGAAAGAAGCAGCTTTCTGTGTCTGTTTACAGACCCGCCTGCCCTTGGCGCCCCAGCACTACACAGCTGCCCCCTGTTTACATTCAGAGTTCACACAAATAAAACTTTACTGGGCTGTAATTTCTGAGTAAAAATGTAGAACCTCTCAGCCGAGTGAAATCAGCCATGTACACCCCTGCCCACACCTTCCAATTTTTAGCCCCCACAGTACAGTACATCTCATTAAAATCAACCCAGTCAAGACATTACGTCGCAGAGAGGAGGATGTGCTTGTCACTTATTTTAATAATTCTTATAAAAGATACACAGATTCTCAGGAGCTTATTAAAGACAGATCAGTGGCCGTATGTTGATTTTTGGGGGTACGATTAAAATGTTCATTATTAAACCAAATAAGACACAATAGACTTGCATACATTCGCTCTTTTCTTTCTTCATCATACACAAAGCTAAACATCAGTCATCAATTATAATTATGCACGGTTGGCTAGTTGGGGGCACGTGTTTAAAATAGTTGGTGAGTTTACCTGATGCTGCTGATGTGTTGGGCCTTTTCTGCCTACATCTGGAGAGTCTACGTAATCGACTACTGCTGGCACCATTTTGTGAGCCAATATCTGTCCCGCAGTTTAAATCTCTCTGCTCTGTACTACCCTGTAACAATGTGTCGTCTGGGACAGCGCTGCTCACAAGGTCTTCAGACAATGTCCTCTTTCCTTCCTCTGAACCAAAGAGGTCCTCTAAAAGAACACTGGCTGTGCTATTAGCGAGAGGATGGCTGACTTCTGGAAAAGATTTCTCAGTAGTCTCTTCCTTCTCCTCCTCATCTCCTTCAAAAAGCTCAGGGCTGTAGAAGATACTTTGTTCATCCACTTCAGTATCCTTATGGTCCATTCCAGTGGTGGTATCCTTTGAAGTAGAGGCAGGGATCACAAAGACCTGCTCAAGTTGAGGATCAACTGAACTGTCATTTAGGTCAGGAACCACATTTATTTGGTGCTTTGGTGCAACAGAAATAACTTCATGCTGAACTTGCTTGTTGATCACTGAACTCGCATCTGGCTCGGATTGAAAAATAGGAGTCTTGAATTGGCTACTGACTGGAGTGGAAGTGAAGAGGTGGCTTGTAGGCCATGGTGTTCTTTGGACATTATGTTCTCTGCTTGGTTCAGATGGATGCTGCATATTCTTTTTGTCACCTGTTCAAACAGACAGACACAAAGACATCTGAGTGACAATTATACAAAACTCTTGGGTGTGTATACCAGCTCAAATGTTCACCTCAAAGCAGAATCTTTGGTTAAAACAATACATCCTGCATTGTTCGTCAGACAAAACACGTTTGAGGGTTAGCTTTAATTAAGTGGTGGAGCACAGGGTCTCTATGATAACTGTGTATAGGGCTTTAGGGTTTGGGTCTACAATATGGTTTATATGTCTGAATGAGTGGAGTCCCTGATTTGTTCTCAAGTGTACGCAAATACTCACGCTCAATCTACCACAAACAAAGGTCAAAGGGATTTCATTAAAAGCAACAGTCAGACATCTGCTCATCCCAATGCTGTTCAGTCAGTCAGGGGCCACATAGTCTGACAGGGGCAATGAGGAGTGAATAGCGTGTACAGCACACACACATACATGTACATGCCACATAAATGCACGCTCACTTACCATATGGTTTTACATAAAGGTGCCCACAATGTTAAAGAAATAGCTGACCCAAAAATACATTTTGTCATTGTTTACTCACCCACACATTGGTTTAAATCTATTTGACGTCCTTAGTTTTCTTTGGTAAACTAAAGGAAAAATCTTGAAGAATGTACTGGCCACTTGTTTACACAAACTAGAGTAGTTATTAAAAGTTTAGGGTTGGTAAAATCTTATCTCTTATCCTCATTAAAGCTGCATTTATTTGATGATAAAACTGATCATCAGCTACTACTCAAATCTTAAATGTCACATCACATTTTAATTTGGTGAACAAGAAACATTTCTTATTAACAATGTTGAAAACAGCTGCGCAGTTTAATATGTTTGTGTAAACAACTTTTTTCAGGATTCTCAGTAATCTTTCATGAATATAATGTTCAAAAGACTAGCATATATTTGAAATCAAAAGTTATTGAAATGTATTATTTATTTATTTTATGTAACATTATAAATGTACTTTCTTTCTCTTTTGATTAATTTAATTCTAAATAAAACTATCAATGTCTTAAAAAATCTTTCTGACCCCAAACTTGAAGAGTATTGTTTGGGCTGTCAAGCTCCAAAATGGGTGGGGGGGGGAATTAATAAATAACAATAAATAATAATATAAAATAAGATACTAAAATAAAATAAAAAAAATCCAAATGACTGCAGTTATAATCAGTCATTTTTCTCTTTTGTTCAACAGCCAAAACAACAACAACAAAAAACCATGTTCATTTACAATAAGATGATAAATTATTTTTCAATTTTCCAGTGAACTTTTCCTTTAAACGACATGAAGAGCAAGATGTATATAATCCAAAAAGGTCTCATTTTAAAAGACATAAATAACTGCATGGAAGTTACAGGCCTTTAATGGAGTGAAGCAGGAAACCGTTGGCCCAACAGTTATCCATCATCACCAAATACAGTGACTTCCTTCAGGACGCAAATACAATAAAAAAAAAATTTCTCCACTCAAGCCATATACCTGATTCAGAAGACCTGCTCTCAGAGTTGGCCGCCCGCACCTCGGTGTGTAGGTTCGGCGGTGCAAGCCTATGGTCAAATGGCTTGAGGGGGGTGATTATCTCGGGAGGGGGTGAGGTAATAGTGGAAGGGCTGGGGTGTTGAGGGGCAGCTTGAGATTGTGTCTCTTCAAAGGTCTCTACTGCCCCCCGCTGGCTTTGAGAAAAGGACTCCAGGGACTGCATGGCGCCAGTGAAGGTGTCATGGTGCCTCACTAGCTGACGCACCCACTTTGACAGGCCTGAGAGAAGAGGACAGCAGCGTTTGACAAACATTTAACCACTCTACTTGACCACTATTTTCATAACACTCTACCACAGTACTGTCAGTACGTGTAGATTTTCAAGTAATGAATGTTTTCAACCCATCACTGTTACATGTAAAAGAGCAAGACCTTATGTACACATTATCTGGCCACAGCCCAGTCAAAACCACTGCGGTAGGTCATTATCTCCATCTAGTGATACAGAAATGGAACTACAGCTGGGTGACAGAAAGGGACAATCATTTTTTAGCACTTTTAGACCATTAGTAATTTACCTGTGATGTATTTGTTTGGGTTTGTCCTAAACCGGTCATCGACCAGTATAAGTGCCCCCCAGTCATTTCGATGTCGTATACACCTATGAGGACAGCAAACACCAAATTGGTCTTAAAAGATTTGTACCATGTCAGAGAAATACATATGTATAAATACCAATTGTAAAATTCATGTGGCTCTGACCTTCCGAGTGCCTGGTTTAGTGCCCGATATGCTTGAATCTCGTACCAGCGCCCACCAGGCAGAAGCCCTCGTGACTTGGCATGCTTGTCATTGTATTTCATCTTCAGTTCAACCTGCAATGCAAAAAAACTGACTTGGACCAAAATAGCTCCTATAATAACATTAAGCATAGAATTTCAGGAGATGGTAGGGGTAAAATAAAAATTATCACTGGATGAGAATAAGCTGCATGATATATAGACTACCATTCAAAAATCTAGGGTCAGAAAGGAATTATTGGAATTTTATTCAGCAAGGGTTCATTAAATTGATAGAAACTGACAGTAAATACATTTATAATGTTCCAAAAAAATTATTTTTTTAATGGTTCTTTAAACTTTATATTTATTAAGGAATCCTGAAAAAAAGTATCACTGTTTGTATAAAAATATTTAGCAGCACAGCTGTTTTCAACGATAAAAATTAAATGTTTCTTGAGCAACAACTCAGCATTTTAGAATTATTTCTGAAGGATCATGTGACACTGAGGAGACTGGAGTAATGTCTGCTGAAAACTCAGCTTTGCCACCACTGGAATAAATTACATATTAAAATATATTAAAATAAAAAACAGTTCTTTTAAATTATAATATTTCACAATATTGATTTTACTACATTTTTTATCAAATAAATGCAGTCTTGGAGAGAATGCTTTTAAAAACAAAATCTTACAAATTCAAATCTTTAAATGGTAGTCTATGCACAGAAATTTTGCTGACTTTTATATGACTTTCTCTATTCTGTTCATTTATAGGCTTGGAAAACACCATTTTAAACTTCTGATGAACAGATTCCATGCCTGAGCAAAATAAACAAACAGTATATCATTGGTTAAGCACTGTATAGTGGTAAATTTGAATGAATGAATGATGCATTTATATAGCGCTTTATTGTGTATTGTTTTACACCCAAAGCGCTTTACAATCATGTGGGGGGAGGGGGGTATTTTTCTGGAAATGTACAGGTCTTCTAACTGGAAGGTTGCTGGTTTAGGCAATTCATGAGCCAATCCTGAGGCATTCTGCTTAACTTAGACCTACTTTCTTCTGTGAAAGACAGAAGACTTACAAGTTTAAAATGACAGTAAACTGACAGAATTTTGCTTGTTCAAATAAAGATTCCATTTTAAACTGTCAAAGAAGCCAGTATTAATCTGCACCAACTCATTCTTAATTCTTCAGAAGACCCAACAGGCCACACCTGGGAGTTGGGCAGCTGCAGCACCCACCGTGCCGCTCATATAGAACTAATTAGATTAACACTGGCAGGAGGTAGGGCTGGTGAGCAGTGATCTGCAGAGGACAAAGCTCTCCTGAAGATGACACCCTGGGCCTGAAGTGCTTTCATACTCGCTTGCCCACACCCGCTGATCCATTGCAAAGAGGCAGAAGAAAGAGGCCACCAGACAATAGGCATCTGCTTTGCCATAAAAATGCCAGGGAGGCATCCATCAATTTTCACCCACTGCCCTCACGGTTTTAACGCTAACCTTTTTGAATTGACAAGTGAAAAGTTCAAATACAGTCGGTTGGGACAGGACGGCCAAAGCTTTAACTATTTGTGACAGGTACTGTGTTTTCAGATGCCAAAACCTGCACAAGGGCATGACCGTCGCAGGTAAGGCTTGTCTCTTTTACACATCAACTCTGCGTCATCCCCGATGTTGTCACACACCTTAATCAGGAATATTTAGAAACACATGGACACGTTGACATACACATGGGGCTGAATTGAAGAGCAAACACTTCAGCATGACCAAATCCTCCATCTGATGCACAATCTCAATCTCTAACCCAGTGGAAGGGTTAAAAGCATCTGGATAGGAATCCTGTCGTCAACTAAAGGCCGCTACCCCGAGGCGGACTGTCATATAAATCCAATCAGAGTCTATTTCACTATCAAGGCCCTTCACCTCCCGGTATCATGTCAACACTCAATCCGACATGACAGCTTGCATATGTGAAAAAGCCAATTCTCGCTGCTAGCCAAATCTTCTCAATGTGCAAGAAACCGCATGCTGGAAGGGATTACGTAAAATGTCAGGAGATAGCCCACTCTCACATCAGCTTCAACCTCCGTACCTGTTCATCCTTAAAAACAGACATTTGACCAAGAGGCATGCATTACTGCAGAGCGGAACACTGCCGCCGCCATGCCCGTCACCAAGATCTCGTAGCCTGCTGTCTGTCCGTGTTAGGAAACAGCAGAGCGGGTCACACTAAGAGTCCTCGGCTCGGTAATTAAAAGGAAAATCAAAGAGAAATGAGATACAACATTCCACACAAACCTTTACAATTTAACACACTTTCCATGGTCTCGCACAAGCTGTTCATTAGGCATCGAGACACGGCATCAGCTGGAATAGGCCTTTTACTGCCTTTTAAATCTGAGATTATTTTTCTTAGCGAAACAAAACATGTTCCCTCCAGTTTTTATGTTCACCAGAGGCTACTTTTATGTGTGCACCATCAGCTTACAATGCCTTAGACTGTTTAAAGTTCACCTTTGATCTTGCTCCCAATAACGGACTAATAAAAGCGATACTCTCGTTTCAGAGGCACTTTAATAGCTTTTCTGTCTATCGGGGAAGACTGTGCAGGCATCCAGACAACAGGAACTCTACTCTGACTAGAGAGTAGAAAGTTAAGCCACAAGTCACAATGAATTCAAGCATGTGCGTACCTTTCTGAAAGCTTGAAACAAACAATAATGAAACAATTTATATTTTTACATTTTCTGAAAAAATCTGGATGGCTCCCTGTGAGTGACGATGCAAAAATGAATGTGCTTGTCAGACTGGCTTTGTATAGTTACCATTGCACTCTGACAGTAAATAGTGTCAATGTCCTCTCTTTCCTTTGCATTAATAGGGTCATATCCTAGATATCCCAAGGGGTCATCGCCATCCCCCCATGCATGCACTCAACCAAAAGCTTACATGCAGGCTATCAGTATATATAAACATTGTTGTGTTGTTAATTGCTAATTGTTGAGTGAACTGTTGTTTCCTAGTATGAACAATGAAGAGATGGACTTTCATAAAAGCTTGCATTAAACAGAGTTTGTACTCTTTTTAAACAATGGATTTCCATGACCTTGCCAGTCATTTGTGATTACAGAATAAAGATTTTAAAAAATAATTTAGATTCAGACATATTCTGGAAACTGATTTTACCAATTCCAGTTTTGCTCAAAAGAACAATTCAATGACAAATTGAACATCATTAAGGCTTGCAAACCACTTTTATTTTAACAGAAATGTAAAAAAATGTATACTACTATTCAGAATTTTGGGTTCTAAATTTTTAAAGTAGTTAATACTTTTATTTAGAGCACGACCGATATATCGTTTTGCCGATATTATCGGCCGATATGAGCCTGTCGGTATCAGCGAATATGCCGCCGATGTAAAAAATTTTTTTACAGAACATATAACGGAGATAAAATGTTTGAAATGGTATAATTACTTAGTTTGTCAAGTAGAGCGCGCTGCTCTATTGTTTGCTACTGGCGACCTGGATGAAACACTTTAAAGCTTAAGTCTATGGAAAACCATTGAAACTTTTGTAAGATTTTTAAAGTAGTTAATACTTTTATTTAGAGCACGACCGATATATCGTTTTGCCGATATTATCGGCCGATATGAGCCTGTCGGTATCAGCGAATATGCCGCCGATGTAAAAAATTTTTTTACAGAACATATAACGGAGATAAAATGTTTGAAATGGTATAATTACTTAGTTTGTCAAGTAGAGCGCGCTGCTCTATTGTTTGCTACTGGCGACCTGGATGAAACACTTTAAAGCTTAAGTCTATGGAAAACCATTGAAACTTTGAACGGCCATATCTCCGTAACGGCACGGCGAATCCGCACCAAATTCGGGGGATCCCTTCAGCTCAAGGAACCCTCTCGAACACGAATCGAGTGTACGTCTAGAGGCCCGCTTTCGAATGAGACCACCCCCGGTTCGATAGCCCCCGGGGTTCGGGAGTTACGGGGGGTTAAATTTGCGGTCCGGCGCCGACCGATCAAGTGATCCCGGATCGGGGGGCTACCGACGCGCGGGGGGTGGCGTTCAAGAGGGCTCCTCGAGCTGAAGGGATCCCCCGAATTTGGTGGAGATCCGACGGCGCGTTCACGAGATAGTGACACTAGTCAACACTTTCACTTCAGTAAGGAGGTCGCTTGTTCAGGCAGCGGCATTCAAGCGTGGTCTTATTCGACTGCAAGTGGACTTCACATGAAATTCAGCCATGATTCCATACACGTTACATTCAAAGGGCAATAAAGTGCGCGAGACGTGAATTTATATTTATTTACAGAGGTATATTATGTCACACTTCTCTAGTAAGTTTCGTCTGTGTGTGAAGACAGTAGCGCAAATCCGTGAATGAATGTTCCGAAGTAGGCATGGGCCGGTATGAGATTTTGACGGTATAACCTTAAGCAAAAATATCACGGTGTCACGGTATTTTTGTTACAGCTCTAAAATGCGTCTCTGAGACAGCTCTAAAAAACAGAACACAATATATTTTGAGCAACATACAGAATATTTGGAACAGTAATATTTGTTTATTTTTTCTTTGATTTGTTTCTGAAATGTGGGCTGTCCTGCAGCTTTTGATGTGGATGGTTGATTTGCTGCTAGAGCTACTGCTGCCCTTTAAAAGAAGAAAAATAAAGACTGACATCTTTATTTAACCTAAATCTCTAATTACAGTTATTTAATTTTAGTTATATAATTCATACGCATATCATTTCTTTATATAATTTCATATACATAATTTGATTTAATAATAACCCAATTTGAAGCAAAAACAATGTTCTGACTAGCTTTGTGAAATTATACTACATGCCTGAACGAAACAAAAAGCGAAGCTCTGAATGGGACGCAGATTCACTCTCTGATAGCAGGAGGCGCTGATATAGCGTTTCCTTGGTTATCGCAGTAAACAAAGCAGAGCTGCGCTGAAACTGCTTTAATGTGAATTATACGAGATGAAAAGAAAATACCATCTAAACGTTTCTGAAGACAGTCAGTTCCCCTCAGAAACACTCATTTAAACCCCCAAATCAATATTTAGGATTTTCTACTAATAGTTGAACTTGCATCATTGTGCATCATGAACAGTGAGTGATCTGCCTGCTACAGTATTTTTCTCTGTGCGTCCGTCTTCAGCGTCTCTGGCCTGTGTTAACGGGCGTTTACACTTCTTCATATTTTGACTTCATATTTTCACATAAATGACATTTGGAAAATGATATGCATTGCAACGCAGTTTGTGCAAGTCCAGAACAGAGATCGGCTGCAATAAAACAATAAACGGCCGGTTGCCGATCGCGTAAGTTCCAGAGGAAGC